TCTCCACTCATGTAACTGTAGTTGTTGACTGTAATACTCAGCGTGGTTATCGACGTGCTTTGTGCCAAACCTCTTCCCAGTTCGCCCATCCAGTCTCCACTCATGTAACTGTAGCTGTTGACTGTAATACTCAGCGTGGTTATCGACGTGTTTTGTGCCAACTGTATCCAGTCTGTTGAGCTGTTGACTGTAATACTCAGCGTGGTTATCGACGTGTTTTGTGCCAAACCACTTCCCAGTTCGCCCATCCAGTCTCCACTCATGTAACTGTAGCTGTTGACTGTAATACTCAGCGTGGTTATCGACGTGTTTTGTGCCAAACCACTTCCCAGTTCGCCCATCCAGTCTCCACTCATGTAACTGTAGCTGTTGACTGTAATACTCAGCGTGGTTATCGACGTGTTTTGTGCCAAACCACTTCCCAGTTCGCCCATCCAGTCTCCACTCATGTAACTGTAGTTGTTGACTGTAATACTCAGCGTGGTTATCGACGTGTTTTGTGCCAAACCACTTCCCAGTTCGCCCATCCAGTCTCCACTCATGTCACTGTAGTTGTTGACTGTAATACTCAGCGTGGTTATCGACGTGTTTTGTGCCAAACCACTTCCCAGTTCGCCCATCCAGTCTCCACTCATGTCACTGTAGTTGTTGACTGTAATACTCAGCGTGGTTATCGACGTGTTTTGTGCCAAACCACTTCCCAGTTCGCCCATCCAGTGTCCACTCATGTCACTGTAGTTGTTGACTGTAATACTCAGCGTGGTTATCGACGTGTTTAGTGCCAAACCACTCCAGTTCGCCCATCCAGTCTCCACTCATGTAACTGTAGTTGTTGACTGTAATACTCAGCGTGGTTATCGACGTGTTTTGTGCCAAACTACTTCCCAGTTCGCCCATCCAGTCTCCACCCATGTAACTGTGGTTGTCGACTGTAATACTCAGCGTGGTTATCGACGTGTTTTGTGCCAAACCACTCCAAAGACCACCCATCCAGCCTTCACTCATGCCACTGCAGTTGTTGAATGAGAGGTGTAATGTAGTAAGTGACACGAATTTCGCCAAAAAGTCACTAACACTTCGTCCCCAGTCCTCCTCACTTGAGTAAATGGGGCTATCAAAGTTCATACTCACTTTACTTACACGTGAGCAGATAGTCTCGACGTTTGTAAATGCTGATGTTAATGACGAAGAATCGACTACAGATAACTCAACTTCTTCGCATATTTCGTCCACTGTCCTTACGTCATGGACATTTAAAGTAGACGAAAATTTTTGATTGCATGTTAGGGCTTCAAGAGTGCTCTCTCCGTCTCTTGTCACCTCTCCCCTAATGTTGATACTCAAGTTGGACAGTGACTTAACTTTGTCAAAGTTCTTAACCAAACAGGTAGCAACACCATCTGTTACTCTTCCATGGATACTCAAATTAACGCAGGAAACTCTTGAGGCTATCAGGAGTTTGCATAAATCACTTGCTCCAGTGCAACTCAACTCTCCCCACATCTTTACAGTAAGTGAGTGAAGTTTCAACACGCCAAGTTTTTCTTCAAGTAGAAGAGGACGAAGACAGGCCACCTGCGAAGTTGTTATTTTGCTGACTACATCCGGCTCAATTGTAAGAGACAGAGATGACTTTTTAGCAACATAGAGAGCTTCACAAATGTTTATCCAATTCTCGGGGAGTCCTCCGAACACTTTTAAGACCAGTGACCTTAAAGTACTATTTTCTACAACACCCTTTTTCAACGAAATGAAAGCAGAGCAGCTGACGCTTCCACATACAGTCAATGTGAGGGATTTTAAGTACGGATTAGCTGCAAGTCCTTCGGCGACAGAAGTCGCCAATGAATCGTGCATGTCTCCATAAATAGTGAGGCCAAAAGATTGAAGTGATCTGTTCAATAACAAATTGTTCAAAGCCACCATACTACTTTTCCTTACTGAGCCACTGATCTCCAGCACAACAGATGTCAGCGGTGTATCTCCAGACAATCCTTTTTCAAGAACAGTGGCCCAATGCTCACCTAACTCCCCCGGTAGTTTTAAAGTCACGGTTTGTAGTGTTTTGTTTGCGGCTAAATTGTCACCAATAGCAGCGGCCTCCTCAGGGGAAAAGGGACTACTTGTTTGAAGAGTAAAGGAATGTAAAGATGAGTTCACTTGAAGTGCGTTAAATATAAGGCCAGGTATGTGTCTTGTAACATCTTCAATAGAAAAAAAAATAGTTTCTAGCCTGGAGTAAGAGGTTAGAAACTCGTCAACAGGGTGAAGAATCATTATGTCATCAAAATGTACAATAAGATGAACAGGCAATTGTAATTCTGAGAAGTTCTTGCAAGCATTTGCAACTCTTAGAACACCTTCAAATGATTCATTTCCGAACTACAGGTTACTGACTGTGGAAACGGGATAAAGGAACAAAGAGTCATTGCCATTTGTTCTGCTTCTCCGCTTTCACTGAAACACTCAGTGAAGAAAGTCGCCTCTTGCTCACTACAATTTAGCCAGTTCCAGCATTCAACCTTAAGATTCTCGCCAATCTGTCTAAACAGATTACAAGTAGCCTCACCCATTATGCCAGACACAAAGATAAACACTTGGTTGTATTTTCTTGTGATGTCAGCAAAGCTCAACTTCAAATCATGAAAGACATTAACCCTCTCTTCCAGTAGCTTGTGTGCCAGATATAATGCCGCCAAGTACTCTTGAAAAGTCTTGTGGAAAAAGTGATATTCGTGCTGAGGGTTAATCTTCTTCGCACTGGCCTCTTTAAATACCAAACCAAGTTTACGAGCTGCCAAAGTTTTCTCTTCTCTTCTTTCAAATTCTGCCAACTCTTCTTCTCGAAACGAAAACCGGTCGTTTTGTAGACACCTCCACGCTAACTGCCCCAATGCTAGTAAACTCTCTTTAAATTGTTCCTCTAGAGCTTTGTCATCAGCAGCGGCTTTTACATTGTTTTTGGCACAATACCTTCGCAAAAGGCAACCAACAATAATGTGATAAAGTTCGGTTCGAGAAGATGGTAGATTCCCTTCATAATCCTCAAAAACAACACAGAGAAGAAGCAGATTCAATGGATTGCTCGGGAGTGCACGTAAGAAGGTGTTTCCTTGGATTGCCTGAATAAGCGATTCTCCTTTTTGTTCATCAACACGATCAAAGTGCTTTCTGATGTATTGGAAAGCGTCTGCTTCCGTGAACCCATTAATTTGAAGAAGAACAGCAAAGTTACCATTCTGTCGCACAAAAATTCCTTTTTCTTGGCGAGAGGTGGCCAATATATAGCAAAACGACCAACGTTGTCTATCTAATAACTCGTTCACGTGGCTTTCAGCCGTTTCGGGAAGTTCATCAAGGCCATCCAAAACGATCAAGATGCTCGGCTGATTATGAATGTCTTCGATGTAATCTATCAGCCTTTTCTTGGCCTTTTTCTTAATATCTTTGGGGAAGAGCTGATCAAAAATTGCTTCGCATATATTCCCACGGATGTCTCGACATTTCAGCAACAACAGAAGTTTAAAAACTGGGAAAGTAGTTTCATCTGGGATTTTTTTGTTCGCCCAGTCGTGCGAGATTTTAAGACAAAAAGTCGTCTTTCCAATTCCAGGGCTTCCTTCCACTAGAACCATGGCATCATCACCTTTGTTTAGAGTGTTAAAGATATCAAACATGTTCACTTCATTGTCTTCCAACTTGAAATCAGTTACTCTTCTTGAGACGATTGACAATCTTGTAAAAACATCGTCCAGACGTAGCCTTAAGGTGTTCTGCCAAGGGAGTGGTTTTAAAAGAGCGCGTCTGTTGTACTCTTTTGTGAGAAGTCTCGTAAACATAAGAAGACCACGATCTACAGGAAATGGATGAAACAAAATGGTAAACTTCTACGCTATTTTCATGTAACTTTTCTTAAGACTAAACTTGCAGTGGAGAAGAACACTTTCAAAACACATGCGTATAAAATTTGATTACACAGTTTATGCGAGTAATTCATGCATTTAGATTGAACAACACACATGTCGATCAACAGAAAGTAAAGCATTCATCCCTCCAGGTTACTCAAGTAATTTAATGTTTAGCAACTGAGGCTAAAACACCATCACTCAAATGCTTCTATACAACGAACTAAAACCTCATCTTGTACAAATAAACATATTATGCGGTGATATCGAAGAGGAAGTAAAATCTAAGGAAATTGGGGCATACAAATAGACTTAAGTTTTTATTCACTTTGAAAGTGCAAAGAGCTCTAACTGTGAAAAAATTATTACTTCTTTCCTTCCTTACTTCCATACGTTACCTTTTGAGGATTCTTTTACTTATGTCCCGAGATAGAATTGTCTTCAAGAGTGTTTTTTGCCAAATAGTCGCCAATTGGTCGTTGGTGAAAAACCTTCCTTGTTTCACCATGAAACTCCTACTTAATTAAACTAGCCACAATGCTGATTAAGTGAAATAATGGTGTGTGCAACAAGGATGGTAGCGAGGCGATTAAGAACAAGTCTCTGTAAGAATCAAACATCTCGGGAAATGAAAATTTTCAACCCCCCTTCAAATTTTGCATGCACTTAGGCACTCAGGGGGATGCACAAAAATGCCCTTTTTAGAGGTTGCAGCACTCTTGTTGCCATGGTAACAACGGCTGCTTAAAATTTAACCTTGAATAACTGAGACTGAAAAAGCATAACTTAATTCAAGTTAACAAACACAGAGGCCATGATCCACTGGAAATGGTCCAAAACATAAATAGGAAACATCTGCACTTGCTTACTTTCAAGATGACTAGCAATGGAGAAGACCTTTAACGCTACGCTGTATGTGCAAATAACATGAGATTTCACAGTGATTCCATTGAGAGACTTTTGATGGAATTACCACTAAGAAGACCGCACTGACTGGTGTATCAGTCAGTTAGTCTACAAGTAGTGCATGCCTGCGCCAAATTAATGAGTTAATTGACCACAATATCAATTTAAACTAAAGTAACAAGGTGATTACTACATGTAGCAATTACCATTAGCTGTGGAATCACCTTGAGTCTGACCACTTTCTTGAAATGGTGGGATTTCCCTACCTGCAAGGAACAAGGAACATTTAAAAGCTAAGCTCTCATGACTTGCTGCTGCTCATTGCTAGACAAGCCTCACAAACAATATTAACCCTTTAACCTCTAAAAGTGACTGGTATGTAATTTCTCCTTACAATTTCTCCCTGAATCAACCATGAAGGTCACAAAAATAACAGAAATGATCACCAACTAAAAAAGCTCTTGATTTTTAAACTAATTCTCCTGGTCAGTACCAAAGGAAATTTTGAGAAAACAGTAAGGAGAAAATGCATACTGATGTTAGGGTGTGAGGGGTTTTTACTACTACATGTAACAACATTCCAACCAAGTAAATAAAATAAACTGGTCAAAAGCAGCAATCTTAGATTCTTTGGATCCTCTCAGAAAGGGTAAACCAAGTGGGTCGAGTTCCAGAATTTAAACTTTTTGGCTTCTGCTGATGAGCTACACAGAGCTTTCAAGTCTGTGAAATTGTATCAATTGCATTATTGATCTAATTGTATGTGGTAAGTACTTTCATTGTGATCATGATAGAAAAACTCTCGTCTAACTCGCTTAGAAAGCTGACTTCCATAAACAATGGATGATAGTCGTTCATCCTTGACTGGTAAAGCTGTTAATCTGCTTGCCAGCAAACTTACAGCAGGTGCCAAATAACTTAATAATAGCTAAATACTAAATACTGTGAAATATTGTAAAATATAACTTTTAGCGCACCTCTTATTGCTTTCTGTTTATACCAAATTCAAATATCAAATAACTGTTTCAACACATGCTGAATGTAACATCTCTGATGTCTTGGCTTAGTTGAGGTAGATTAAGGAAGAGATTGCATTCCATTGATATAGACCAACATATAAGAAAGCCTTCCTGACATAATAATAATACTATGTGTTTCTAAATATAAATAGTCAATCTGGTGCAATGTTGTAAGTGACCCCAGTTTTGGGAAATTACTGTTTACCTTTGTGGTACGTGCCATCTGTCAATTCTTTTCTTGGTCTCTTACAAGCCTGACTTGTATCAGCAACAGATGTTAGCCCCTTATCCCTGACTGGCTTGGCTAACCTGCTTCCTGATGAACCTACATGTGATAAACCAAATTCATAATTGATTTTCACTCTATTTCAATCAGCTATTTGTCATTTCATAAATTTTGGTGTGCAAAGATAATCATTCAAATTATAGCTAGCTACAGTGTATAAACATTAACCACTTCAACAGAATATCATGGAAATTTCAGAGGATATACATCTGGTATGTCATGGAGGATGCCTCACAAATAATTTTTGAAAGAATTTGATAAGACTTTCAATTGGTCAAAAAATTAATCAGGGTATGGAGCTTATCCCAATTTCTACAGCTCAATGCTGTAGAAATTACTGATTACCTTTGTGGTACGTGCCATCTGTCAAATCTTTTCCTGGTCTCTTACAAGCCTGACGTGTATCAGCAACAGATGTTAGCCCCTTATCCCTGACTGGCTTGACTAACCTGCTTCCTGATGAACCTACATGTGATAAACCAAATTCATAATTGATTTTAACTCTATTTCAATCAGCTATTTATCATTTCAAAAAATTTTGGTGTGCAAAGATAATCATATTCAAATTATAGCTAGCTACAGCATATACACATTAACCACTTCAACAGAATATCATGGAAATTTCAGAGGATATACATCTGGTATGTTGTGGAGGATGCCTCACAAATAATTTTTGAAAGAATTTGATAAGACTTTCAATTGGTCAAAAAATTAATCAGGGTATGGAGCTTATCCCAATTTCTACAGCTCAAAGCTGTAGAAATTACTGATTACCTTTGTGGTACGTGCCATCTGTCAATTCTTTTCTTGGTCTCTTACAAGCCTGACTTGTATCAGCAACAGATGTTAGCCCCTTATCCCTGACTGGCTTGACTAACCTGCTTCCTGATGAACCTACATGTGATAAACCGAATTCATAATTGATTTTCACTCTATTTCAATCAGCTATTTGTCATTTCATAAATTTTGGTGTGCAAAGATAATCATTCAAATTATAGCTAGCTAGAGTGTATAAACATTAACCACTTCAACAGAATATCATGGAAATTTCAGAGGATATACATCTAGTATGTCTTGAATAATTTTTGAAAGAATTTGATAAGATTTTCAATTAGTCAAAAAAACAAATGAGGGTATGGAGCTTATCCCAATTTCTACAACTCAAAACAACCAAGGGGATTGTAAATTTTCCTACTGGAAATAATGCTACTTCATTGCAAGTTACCCCTCCCCATGTGAACCAAACAGTTAACTAGTTTTATATAAATGTAAAACCTTGATGGAGGCAGACATCTTGAGAAAAAAAAGTGTCAATCTGAAGTACAGTCTCCCAGATAGATTACTTACTAACAATGTTGTACACACCTACATATAGGCATATAGGTGACCAATAATATATATATATTCAATACACCCTACACTACGAACCCACCACGACTGCCAAACGAAAAAACAGGCAGCGAAGCAACATCCTCTGGTACAACCCTTTTATATTTATTTAACCGCAACACCATCAAAATCAGTTACAGCTGTATGAACAACACCAAACAGGTCATCGACAACCACAACAAGCGCATCTTACACTCGCCCCACTCACCTTACACAAAAGACAACAAAGACGGCACGGGAACCAACAAAACATGCAACTGCCGACAAAAGAACAATTGCCCGCTCAATGGTAACTATATATATATAATCCTCAGTCGTTTATCAAGCCACCGTCACACGGAACGACAACAACACCTCTGAAACATACATTGGACTTACAGAAACCGACTTCAAAACAAGACACAGAAATCACTTTTATCATTCCGCCACGCCAAGCACAAAAACTCTACCGAACTTAGCAAGCACATCTGGACACTCAAGAACGACAACATTGACTACTCTACATCATCTAACTCTCCCTACAGCAGCTCCATAAAAGATGCAACCTATGCCTAAAAGAGAAATTCCTATTGATAAATAAGCGTAACGAACTCGTATCTTCATGCCGACACAGAAACAAAGCGTTGCTACAACAGCTGAACTTTAAAGTTTTAAGTTTACCGCGCATTATGTAAATTTTCTTAGTATATAAACGATAGTCACATATAATATTCTTTCATTAAACCCCTGAAGAGTGAAGCGATTCATATATATATGTAGTCATAATATTTATTTATTTATTCTGCTCTGCTTCAACGTATTGAGCACTGTTCCACGCTAAAATCGACTTACAGACTTCCTATATATATATATATATATATATATATATATATATATATATATATATATATATATATATAATTATTTGAAAACATCAACTGTCTAGGGAATGACAAGAACATGCTGTTACATGTTGCAAAAGTATATTGAAGTAGCAGTACTAATATCAACTCATTGTTTTATTGTAACAGCAAAAAAAAGTCATAGTGAAAGATAACTTTTACCAAAGGCAAGTGTCTCCATCTTTTTCACAAGGACAGTACAAGGCTTCTCCCACTCATAAGCTTTTGCATAATGTTCACGAAGAAGCTTTGCTTCTGAAAGGCGAACTTTCCTACGTTTCTGACGAACATCTCTGATCTCCTTGGCCCAGTCTTTAGGATCTTCTGAGTCTACCACACACTGCGGACCTAAAGGCACTTCCTTCAGAGCTTCTCCGAGTCCTGAATTACCACTGACAAGTACAGGCAGACCAGCAGATAACGCTTCAAGACCAGGCAATCCAAAACCTTCAGTCCTAGATGGCATTATGGCAAGATCCACCTCACAGAACATGTTGGCTAGTACTTCTTTGTTGTCATTAAAGCTGCGAACAATTAGCTGATTACAACTGATGCCATGCTGAAGCAGCTTCTCTGCTATTTCCTCGCCTTTTTCTCTTGGTGAATAAAGAAACTTCAGTCGGTAGGATGCATCTTTTAATTCAGCAATTGCTTTGGCAGCCATGTTGAACCCCTTAACATTGAAATCTTCACAGCTGTCACCACTTCCAATCACTAAAACACAGAATGTTTTCCTTTCGTCAGTGGCTTGTGCTACATTCAAAAATTCAGAGAAAACACCTGGGGTGAGATCTAAAATGGTTTTCTCTTCTTTAGCAGAACAAAGGAAGCGTTTGTAGGCCTCTGCCACTTTAGGTCCTATTGCTACAACCTCATCAGCCATCTTACAGAGTTTTACTTCTGTTTGCTGAAGTTTTTCTCCTTCTGAAATGTTCTTGTACATTCCCACTTCTTCATGAACACTGTGAACAACTTGAATCCATCTACAGTCTGTAGTCCTCTTTATGGATGGAATTTGTTTGCCAAGGTGTACTCCATGTCCTATGACACAGTCTACATCATGGTTTCTGGGTAAAGACGACAACCAAAAAATTGGTTCATGGCCTGGCAATTCATCTGCTTCAATGAGCTGAATTTTGTGACTCACAGCATTTCTCTTGTCCTCTTCACTGCACTTAGGAAGAAACACACTAACTTCCACATTAGGATGCTTAGCTAACTGTATAGCAAGCTTTCTACTGATAGTTGAGACTTCTCTATCAGTTGATGATCTCCACTCACTACTCAGCAAAGTGACTTTCAGTCTCCTGTTTTGCTGGCCTTCCTGTGATGAAGAGGCTTCACTTGGAGTGGCCAAATCCTTCAAGAGAAAAACAGCACAGATTTAGAATAGCTCTCTTCATTGCAATAATAAAATATATTTCAAATTAACAAATAAAAGTTATAATATAGGTGACATATTTTTTGTCATTTGTGAAGTAACAATGGCCAAGAGAACATGAAGAGAAAATAGAAAAGCACATGCTCAGTTTATTTGTGTGTAATTCATAGTTGTTCATCAATTATTTACAAAGCAAAGGAGCACAACATTGGCAACAAGGATAAGCATGGAATTCACAAAGCATAAGCACAGCACAAGATGTCTTTGAACACAAATGGAGCTTCAAAGCCAATTCCCAAGTTTGATTGTCACTCAGAGCCCACTTTGTTAGGACCATAATGGAATTATTTGCAGATGGTAAAGGTCTAATTATTAATGAAGGTAAAAACGCAACCACAAGACAATGAAGAACAGCAATGCTACTCCATTTAACAGGCCCACATGTCCAAGACATCTTCTCTAAACTTGTGAACACTGGAAAAGCAAACAATCACGTCTGCAGCTGTTACAGCATTAGGTAAATGGATATTCTCTTCCCAAAGTCAACTCACCTTTTGCCCATCAGAAATTTGACCAACTCCAACAAAACCAAGGTGAGACATTTTTGCACTTTGTATTGAATTAAAAAAAAAGGAAAATATTGCAATTTTGGTGCAGACTTCAACAATCAGATAAGAGACCTTGTCCTGCGCAAATATAAGTCAGACTATGTAAACCACAAATTATTTGAAGAAAGGTAAGAGCTAACCCTTGCTTGGATGTTAGAACTCCCAGAACAGTGTGAAAGGGTAGAGCACCAGATATCTTATCTCAGTGTGAGTAAGCAAGGTCCAGAAGATGTAAACAGGGTTTATAAAAAACCTGGCAGACCTAATGGTAAACAAAAGAGTAAAGGAAACAAACAAGAAAAACATTGCAATAGTTGTGGGTCCAGTGGGCACCTGGGTGGAGATCCAAACTGCCCTGCTAGAGGTCAGACTTGTAGGAAGTGTAAATGACAAGATCATTTTGCTAGTGGCTGCAAAACCAAATCACAAAAACTTGGGGTTAATCAACCACAAGAAGAATCATATGCAAATAGGGATCAAGTTGATTTACTGCTCTCAGAATAAGTAATGAGGTACACTCAAATCTGCTTAAGTTGTCTGTGGGTGGGGTAGAATTAGAGATGTTGGTGGATTCTGGGGCCACCAATAACACTGATGATGAAGAAACCTGGGAAAATTTGAAAGCTATAAGAAGATCAAGAATAAATCTGAAGCTGCTACTGTTGACAGGAAACTATAACATGCTTATACATCCAGTAAGCCCCTTGAAGTAAAGGGCTGTTTAATTAATATGTGAAGTTTTGGTTGGCAAACAGAGAACTCAACAGAGATCAATAATTTGCAACAATAATTCCTAGAGGTGTTCATTGAGATTTGAAAGCTGAAGTCTGAACAAGTGACATTACACAAAGATCCAACAGCGAGACCAGTAGCACACCACTGAGGGTAACTCCATTCAATTTGCAAGACAAAGTGGGAAGGAAAGTTCCAGATTTATTAGACTATGACATCATAAAAGAAGTTGACAATCCTACACCATGGGTGAAACCAGTAGTAATTATTCCAAAGATGGATGGGGACATTTGGCTCTCCAGGTTGAGAACCTTGTCAAGATCTTTTATGATCATGAAAGATCTTGGATGATCTTGTCAAGATCTTTATCTTGGAAGGATCTTGCCAAGATCTTGGCAAGTTGAGACCACTGAAAGATCTTGCTAAGATCTTACCATGTAAGATAGTAAAAAATCTTGCCAAGATCATTCCCTTGCGAACTGAATTCCCAGTTTTCTGGGAATTCCTAGGAATTCTCAAAAATTCCCAATTATGCAAATGACCCTTGCAAACTGAATTCCCAGTTTTCTGGGAATTCCTAGGAATTCTCAAAAATTCCCAACTATGCAAATTAACTCTGATTTAAATTTCTGGGAAAGGAAGACTCCAGTTTTGTGAGGACTTGGAATCCCTAGGAATTCCTAGGAATTCTCAGCTTTACAAACTACCTATAATTTAAGAAGTGTGGAACTCTTGGGAATTTCTGGGAATTGAATTTGAGGCAATTTTAATACCCTGAGGTCCACATAAATTCTAAGAAATTCTCAATACCTTGAATGTGAAGGTTTTAAGAAAAAGAGTAATTTCAGAGGCTTAAAACTTTGGCTCAATAAAAGGTATGCTATACAAAACTTACCAAGAGATATACATACATGTACATGTTTATAACTTAAAGATCATGAAATTTATTACTCAAACTAAGTTTTAGTAAATCTTTACATTAATATGGATTTTCTCATGAACCAGCTGTCAGTTATGTTAAATGGAAATTGCCAACTTCCACAATAATTAACAATAATTACATTGTTATATTACTTCCCTAACCTACATTACTGGTTGCCTTTGTTAGAAAACCATGGAACAGTCAAGCTCAGTTGCCTCAAACGCTGTCAGAGACTTTTTGTTGACAATACTTTTAGTAGAAATTTCATGCCTTAGAAAAACAAATTCAACACCTAATTTATCTTTCTTTTTTCATGATTGTTGTTGCTGCTTTTTTTTCAGTTTTTTTTGCTCTATTTTCATGACTAATTGCTTTAATTTGTTTTGCTGTTTTTATTCTTACAAAACATTTTTGTAAGAGTTCCAATACTTGTGGATCATCCACACACTTTGCAAACATTTGGCATGCAGACAAGACAGAGGTAGTCAATGTTCCCTTTGAGGAAAAACACCTTTTATATGATGTCTTCAATTTACTTTATTTGAAACTCTGATCTGAAAATATTTGTCAACAAGACTTGTTAGTAGTGAGAAGTACCAACCAAGTTTCCTTTCATAACTTAATTTCTTAAATGTCCCAATCACTGGATCTCCCAAAAAAATATTACATCTTTTTATTTTTGGTGCAAATTACAAGTCCTTCTTTATATAAAAATGAAAAGTGCTAGTCACACTTCAATAATAACAGCTCTTAAGTTTACTTGTTGTTCTTCTCTGTCTGTCAGCTATCAACAAAATTGTTTTATACTTCGGGCAGTGCATAACTATTTGTGGACCAGAGTTCCAACGCACCTCTGTAATCGCATACAGCTACTCCTGTCTCTATTACAAATTTTTCTCCTTTGTAAGACACACTCTACTCTGTTGTCAATACTGCTTTAAGTTCAGTGGAAACGACTGACTGAGGAATCGAGATGGCGGTGTTGGAACGTGTTGCTGAACGCTTGCTACGGTCAAGCTGTGTAGATTTAGGTACCGGTACACTCAGGGATCACCTATGTATCTCTTATACTTCCGAATGTGGTATCCTTCTTTTATAAATATGAGGGTAAAAGACGATTTGTAGTCGCATTCAAAACTGTGATTGGCTTGTGTTATTTCTCACCTTTGCCATTAACACAACTCAAGTGAGTTTCGAGTCTTTGTTTCCTCGACAACTTTCGGCCACAAATCGTGCATTTGTAATACGATCGATTCTTGTCGATTATTTCTACATAGAGTGAGCTCACATCTTTATTTATATCACCAAGCTATCCATCTTCTAGAAGCAGAGAACTGGTCGGAGAAGTCAGAATAAAGTTGGGCGCTTCTCTTAACACTGCAATCGGCAAGCCAGCGGATTCACTTTGCTAGCCAATGACAAGGCCTAAAAGATCCACGTGATCATGGCCGTGATCGGAAACAAAGAAGACTCCATTTGGCGCTCATCTTTGAATGTACTTTTCATCGGTTGATCGCTTTTCTCAACTGTTTTGCTTAATATAACATTTCTAAAGATAGCTATTATTGTGGTTCAATGGGAAAACGAGAATAGCGTGAGTGTTGTAAAAGAGAAGAAAGTCGTTGGCGCCGTGGAGTTAAAAGAAGGGACAACAGTTGACATATGGACTGGTACAAACAAGGGTCGAGTGGCCATCTGTAAAGCTACGATTTTGAAAGTTTGTGGTGAGTAAAAATTGCGATATTCGTTACGTGATCAAAATCTTATAAAAGAATAGATGTAGCGGGTTGAATTAAGCTTACATAACGCTCGGCGCAACTGAAACTAGAAAAATTCTGAGAATCGAATCGGTCACTTGCATGCCGCAGTTTCTTAAGCTTATGCTTTACAATGAAATAAACCTATCAGTAAGGTTTCAAGATTCCTCTAGTCACGTTTGGGAACATTCAAGATTCATAACAAACCTTAGTACATAAAGAAGCCCTCCTTGGTAAAAACAAAATAATGTATTCAGCCCTTTTTTAGTAAAATCCATGAGAGAGATGTACTAACTCCAATATAAAAGTCACTCAATATAACAGAGATTTCTCAATTTCAGAATCCAATGAATGCCCTTTTCCTCATAGCCATCTTAAAAGCCTGGTCTGAGCTTTAAACATACATATTTAAATATATTATTTTTTTTCAAATTCAGATGTCAAGGAATCCAGATACAAAATGGTCAAGGTTCTTGTTGACAACCTCATTCAAGGCAAACTCATTGTGAGCCCAGGAAAAAAAATACAAACAGTACAAACAGCAGCTAAGTTTGCAGTTTAGGATAACTTCATTCTAATTTATTGTTACAGTTACAACAAGATTTTAATCAAAAAATCAATTTTATTTGTCTGTAATTAGCCCCTTCACTCCCAAGAATATAACTATATAAATATAACTTAAGATAAATTGTATTTTATGGAAGAGAATCAACAGATTTTATTCACAATTTGTGTCAAACCAAATTTAATGATTGATTAGAACTATTTTATATGAATAGCTGTAATTGAGGATTAATCCGTATGAAGTTTTCAAGAAAAGAAAAATAAATCAAATTCCATCCTAATATTACCACACATTGATGTTAGTAATTAATCAAAAATATTTTACATGTAAGCCTTAATTAAGCTTCTAAATAAATTTCATTGAATACTTGAATTTTAGCTGGGTTTTTTTAATTTAAAGTATTTATTTTATATCATTAGCCTCAAATTTTTGCTTAAAAATTCCCAGTAATTCTTAAACATTCCTAAAAATTCCCAAAAATTCCCAGAAATTCCCAGAAATTCCCAGAAATTCCTAGGAATTTTTTAGATTTACAGCTTTTCAGGGAAAGTCATCGGTTCTCTGAGTTGGAATTCCTAGGAATTCCTAGGAATTCCAAGTCCTGTTGGCTATAAACTTGGAATTTCTGGGAATTTCTGGGAATTTTTGGGAATTTCTAGGAATTTCTAGGTTTTTAGAACCAGAGTTGTTATGGTTGGGAGTTCCTAGGAATTCCTAAGAATTCCCAGTCTGAATTTACCGTGAAAATTCACACCTTTATTCCTAGAAATTCCTAGGAATTCCAAAAGCCATTTCGCAAGGGTTGTAAGATCTTGTCAAGATCTTACCATGATCCTGCATGATTTTACAAAAATTTTGATCAGATCATAACCAAGATCTTGACAAGATCATTAAAAGATCTTGTCAAGATCTTAGCAAGATCTTAAAAATATCTTTCCAAGATCATTGAAAGATCTTGTCAAGATCTTAGCAAGATCCTGCAGCTTCTTGCAGGATCTTGTCCAAGATCTTACATGATCTTACCAAAGGTCTTGCCAAGATTTTATCAAAGATCTTGCCATGATTTCACCAAGATCTTGTCCAGATCTTACCAAGGTTTTCAACCTGGATCTGCATAGATGTGCAAGGTTACCAACAGTAGATGGGCTGTCACACAACATGAATAGCTCCAAGGTTTTCAGCAGGCTATAATCAGCATCAAGTTAGTCAACACATCATGTTTGCAGAGTTTTATTTAGAACGAATGACACTCTTGTAGAATGACACTCCTGTGTTTACCACACTCTGAATTATTGCCACCCCCCCTCCCCCATTCAATGTTGCCTGTATGTAGTTAGAGGTTTGTGGCATCATGATACATCATTGTTTTGGGGGGAGAGGGTGAATAGGTTAACTCAACAGGGGCAGCTAAAGCAGAACATGGCTGTAGCAAGAACATTTCCATACCTTGACAAGAATGCATCATAGATGTGAGTCTATCTGGCCTCATAGCCAGATGTTAATGCAGAATGCGAATGGTGTGTGGGTGCCCATTTGCTGAGCAAGCCACAGTCTCAGAGTGTGAATGTTAATACTTCCAGACTGAGATAGAAGCCCTTGCCCTTTTAGGCCTTCAAGAAGTACCATGCTTACATGTATATTTTTATGAAATGAAATTTAGTCTGGTTACTGATCACAAACTGGACGTGATCTATGGGCCCTGCTCCAAATCCTGTTCCTGCATTGATTGCTGGGTAATCTTCCTAGAACCCCAGCCAACCCTCTTTCACATTTGCTGGGTTGGAACAAAGCGACAAATCATCAACACATAGCTAAAGAGTATATTCAATTTGCAGCCATCAGCACCACACCACAAGAGAAATTGAAGAAGTATCTGCAATGGATGATGAGTTAAAAGCTCTGAGGGAGGCAAATAAAACTGTTTTATTTGATAAAAGCCAGGCTTATGCACCAGCTGCTTGTGAACTGTGTGTGATCAGTGAATACTCCTATGAGGTACCTTTATTGTGCTAACCAGTAAGCTAAGGCCCAAAACAAATGCCTTGGCTCATAAAGGACACTTACATGTAGCAATTGTTGGAACAAAACAAAATTTGAGAAGCAAAGTATGGTGGCCTTGTATGGATAAGGCAGCAGAGAAAATCTGCAAATCTTGTTATGAATGTCAACTGGTTGCACATCCATATCCCCTTGAGCTGCTGACATCAATGACATTGCCTAAGGGTCCTTAGCGAGACCAAGCCATAGACCTTCTACAGCCACTCCCATCTGGACCATCAATACTACTTGTCATCAACTACTAAGGCAATTATCATGAGTATGTGGAAGTAATTCACCACCTGGAAGAGATCCTCAGCAGCCATTGTCTTCCCATAACTACCAAGTCAGATAGTGGACTATAATTCATCTGATCAAGAAAATTCTAAGAATACTGTAAGCAGAATGGCATTGTGCATCTTAAGACCACACCAAAACCACCCTAGGCCAATAGGGAAATTGAAAGACAAAATGCCATCCTAATGAAGAGGACCTGCATTGCCCACGCTGTAGCAGTTGACTGGATGAAGGATAAAGAAGATAGGTGAGTATGTAGTGAGGTATTGATCAGCTGAAAGTCCTGAGAAGTATTGTTCAACCCTTAAACTCCCAAGATCTGATTGTCAATTCTCTCTCTCGCTGCTACACAATTCCTTGTAAATTAGTTACAAGAATTTGGTGTAAGATCAAGATAAAAACTTCTTCCTGATAAGTTTGAGTATTCTCATTAACCATTTGCCAGAAAACATATAGATATCATAGGGAGAAGTTACATGTTGGTCACTTCTTGGAGTTAAAGGGTTAAAAGGAAGATGAGAGCAAAATTGCCAGAGCTACATGCTGATTGCCACATACAGACTTGTTAGGGTAAAAGAAAAGACCAAAGCATATACAGACAAGGCTAAAAACACAAAACAATCAGATATTCAAGTTGGCAATTGAGTGCTAGTGAAAGACAAAAAGACAAATTCTCCACACCATTCAATCCAATGTAATCCCAAGTGGTTAGCAAGACTGGCAACAGTGTCATTATAGAAACTCCAAGTGGGACCCAATACTCAAGAAATACTTCCCATGTGGAGAAATTTGGGATAGGTAATCCTTCATCTACATTTGAAACACATCTGTCAGCCAGATGAAATTAGAGCACCTACAACAAAACCAGGTTGAGCTGCAATTAATACCCATGGCACCCACCACTCTGCTGCGTGAACCTCCTTCAAAGAATACCCCATTAACACAAGTGTGTGGAATGGAAACAAGGCAGTTCCCATCTGTTCAGATCTTGTAATTGATGGAGCAACAGTGCCTGGCACGCAAGCAACACCAAGCTATGAAAGACCTCAGAGATAGAGGAGGCTGCTGAGAGATACAGGTACAAGGACTTTGTCTTGCAATGATGAACTGATCATTTAAATTTTAAAAATTCATTGAAATTGAAGAACACTGTGATTGACAACTTTGTGACTTTGTGATTAAGTTTTGTTAAGGACATCCATGGGGAGATATACTGACAAAGTAGAAAGTTACAGGAGTAAAGGAGTAATTAAGCCACTCACACCTGCTTGGGACATAAATGTCTACAGCAAGTGTTGACAGAAAAACAATCCTTAAAGATTCTTTATGTGAGTTTTTAGTTGGAAAAACTGTACAATTAATTACTGAAAGATCCTGACAACAATGAATAGTTTGTCCTTGGTCAAGAATCTGCAAGGACTGAGTTTCAAGATACACAATCACACACAAAGGTGTAAATGTTGTGCTTAACTTTACAGGAAAAGGGTTCCATTTGTACTAAAATCTCATTCTCATAGCTTCATAATTACATTTATGAGTTATTAGTTTTACCTTTGATGGCCCAGACATCACAGAAAACCTTTAATATTGAATGCAGCTGCTGAAAAGAAAAAATTACAATGTCTAAATTAACTTCAATTCACTCAACACAAATAAAGGCTTTTAGGTTTGCATATTCACAAAACAAGCAGTCTGAGACTGCAGGTGGCTACTGATATAACAGTATAGACAGATATGAAGATTGCATAGTCATGCTATAAGGAAGTGTTGCAAAAGATTTGTATTCACAAGCAAAACAGAAAACCTGCCACATCCCATATATTCATGGCCAGTACCCTGGTTCACAAAAGAAAGGTGATTCAAGAATACAGTGACTAGTTGACATTCAACCAGTAACTAATTGATAGCAAATAATCATATTAACAATAATAACGATAGAAATGGTAATAGCAATAATTAAGAGGGGCTAGCTTGAAAACCTCACAGTTCTTCTATCCTCTAGGTTCTAATAATGATAAAACTATGCTTCTTTCAACTTTTCTTGTTGAATCATCTTTTTCTTGTGGAACATGGTACTCATGAATATGCAGGATGCAACAGGTTTTCTGTTTTGCATGTGGGAGAAATCTTCTGCAACATTACCTTCTAGCATCATTACATAATGTCTAGCTCTGTTCAATGCTATGAAAATTGTGCTATATTAGTAGCCACATGCAGTCTTGACTGCCTATTTTTAATGCTTGCTGTTTATGGTTCAAGTTCCAATTGATTTGAGGTGCGACATATGCTATTCAAGGTAACAAGCTGTTTAAAGGTGACGTATAGCATTTAATGCAATTAAATGCATACTTGACTCAATGTTCCATTGTTTTCTAGACAATAAATTTTCCTCTTTCTCTTTGTTTGTTTCTCTAACAAGCCCAAAAGATGTCAATGAATCATCTACTCACAATATTGCCAGCCAAAACGACAATTTCTAAGTAAAACAGTAGAAAATATGTGATGCACTTCAGACAATAAATTTTCCTCTTTCTCTTTGTTTGTCTTTGATTCTACAATATTGCAAGACAATTTCTAAGTAAAACAGTTTTATCTTCAGTGCACAGGGTCTTTGATTCTTAATAAGCAACCAATTTATGATCTGGGTTACCAAAAGGTTGCGCTTGGAACTCTGTTTGACATCCACTTAATGAATTCTTCTCCGATTATCGCATGTTTGTGGTTACTACAAAATAATTAACTAAAACTTCAACATATTTCCATATCGGGGAACTAAAACATGAAACTTACCACGTTCCGTTACAAGGGTTGTCTAGGATCGTTAATCCAGACATGTCTGAGCGAGATGACTGACTCTTTAAACCTTAAAAACAATCACAGGCCACATTGCGATAAGATTAAAACTGACTATTGAAGAGTAAAGGAAAATTAGAGTCATTCTAAATATTCTGGATTGATCTGTTGCTTTTTTTCTCATTTACTTGAGATTTAAAACGATTCATGGAATGCGAATAAGCAGACAAGAGGATAACTACTGGTGTACTGGCAAATTGCCAGTGGAACAAACCTAACAGTCAAAGCTTTAAATTCCACATCCCGAGCAACTCTTGTGCTACATAAACCTTCTTGATCTTCCAAAATACTACAAGAAGCTTAAATGAAGAAAAAGCCTTCACGCTTTTCGCTTTGACATTTCCGACATAACAGCTTGCTGAAACAATCAAAGCCCACGATGGCGAAGTCACGCTAGTTTATCAGAGCAGTAGTAGCAAACATCATGCGATCCAACCAGCAGTGATTTGAAACACTTTCTCCCGCGAGGGACATTCGAAATGATTCCAATAGATGTACGATTACTAAGCAAGATATCTCCCCTCATATGGAACCTTTCCAAGAAACGAACAAACTTAAGCTTTTAGAATTACCTTCGATCAGCAGACAGATCACAGACAACGCAAGCCGCCCAAAAGACAAAAGTTGCAACAGCTCAAGAACCTTCGCTCACTGCCATGCTGACAGCCTTGCCAGACAATGACAGACACTTCACGTCAGGATTCTAAATTACCCCATAATTTAAGATATATGGAAAAGTAAAATTAATTTCAGTTAAGTATTACACGTCGTTTGAAGGGCGGAAGTTCCTACCCAGAGTTCCCTGGAGACTTTCGCTTTCCAAATATGAGGTGCGATGGATCCATCCTAAAGACTGGACTATAAGGCAAAAGGATTGTGGAGGGGATTGGAATTTTTTTTATCACAAAAACGGAATGGGGCGATTTGAAACACAATCTGTTGTACGAGCTATTCGAAAATAGAGAATGAACGCAACGTCTTCTTTTTCATGGTGTCATGGGCAGATGTAGTCTCCCAGGAAGGTTACTTAATGCCCAGTACTTATTAAAGTAATGGGCTCCTGATGAAAGAGAAGGGAAAAAAAGGTTACGTAACGAAGCATCCTTAAATAAAACTTTGTTGATGACCCCTGCCGGCATCAAAGATAGTGTTTCAGAAGTGTATCGAACATATCCATATTTGTACAAAAGGGGAGCAAAATAATCTTTAATGAATAATTACCTTTCAATCATCGTTTAATGCACTTTTTCCGATGCGAAACAAACTCTATCACCCGAGTTTAAAGTTTACACATCTCATAAAAAAGATTATAATAATAAGTCACTGACAAAGATAAGCTGATGGGGTGAAGTCTGTGAAGTAAATTTCAACCGAAATGCAAAACTATTCTGGATTCTATCGGTTTCATCTTAACCCTTTACTCCCTAACATCAGTATCCAGATTCTCTGTCCAGCGCTTTAGGATGACTGTTATGATTTTACTTCACCTGCTTATTGGGTCCTTGTGTAATATTTTACTTTGCTTTGACTGGACGTTCAAATAACTTGGGTTTTGGTTATAACGCGCAGTACTCGAAAAGCGCTACGAAGAACTAATGATCTTCAAGGTGGGATGGAAAATTCAATCTGACACTAATTTAGCAGCGATGAAAGTGAAGCTTAAAATTAATCAAAACCAGCTTAGTCTACACTTAAGAGTTAAACGAACGGGCTTTATCTGTCCAAGACAGTTAGCATTATATCTAAATCGTGCAAACAACACAAGGGAGTCTCTCTGTTTCTACATATGGCGGGCAGGAGAACGTCTCACAACTCGCAAAAAGCCCTCGGACGTATGTGGCATCTTTCAGTAGATTCCTGGATTCCCGGTCCAAGCAGATGACGTCTTTGTGGTCCTTCCGGTTCGACTGCACCACCAGGTAACCATCATACTCCCGATGCCAGCCCCGATAGCATTCCTTTCGAGCCGGCAGCATGATCTGCACGCTTCGGGTCCTGACCAGGCACAACACACATGACAAGTAGAAGTAAGTGCCGTGTAAGATGCTGCGTGTCTCGTCCTGCTTCAGCGCATCGCGGTTTACCTGGGAAACGTTGCCGAGTGGAGTACTGGGATCCACTTGACCAAAGTACCACGGCTGATTGGGTACGCAGATGTAAGGGGACCCTCCTGTACGAGCTTTGTCATGACGTGTGCCTGCAGCTTGTCCTGAGAGACAAAGAGGAAAATCTCCAACATGACTTTTTGGCTCAAGAGAGTCAAGATAAAGGAACGCTTTCATAGTTAACTCAAGGGCGTGGCTGAAGGGGGTGTAAGAGAATAAGCTGCCCCCCTCCTCCCTGAGCTAACTTCCGATATAAGAAAAAAGTTACTGATTAATATAATTAAAAGCCTGGCCTGTACATCCCAAGAGAACGAGCCCTCGATTGAAAACTTTTTCCTCTATCCCGAGGATTTGAGCAATTATCCCAAGGGGTAGGCAGCTTAATTTGTACCTAATCCAGATTTCAGTAATAGTGTTCCCTCGTCTACTCTCATCCAAAGGAAGAATGTACCTCCTTACCTGAATACACTATCGTTGCACCTCCCACGGGGCACGTGGTCCTTCCCCATCGAACATAGGTAAGTGCCCCTCCAGCATCCTTACTTTGATCCCGGCCAATTTCTTCATAAGACGCAGCCTCGAAGCACGATTTCTCCACCCTCCGACCCCGCTCCGTGACATAACAAGTCGTCTTCCCACGTTCACCTTTATTACCTTTGCTCCCCACCGTACCGGGAAGTCCTGGTTCGCCGTCCTCTCCCGGTATACCGGGAACTCCTCTTCCTCCCTTCATTCCAGGTAAACCTCTATCACCTATTGGAACAAGAAAACAAGCAAAACAATGTGATTAAAAAAAAAAAAAAGTGAAAGGTTGCGCTCACTTTTCTTGAATTTTTACTTGCAAAAATTCCTCCCTATATTAAAAGCTAGTGCGGTGTAGAAGCGATTATTAACCCTTTAACTCCCATGGGTGACAAAGACAGAATTTCTCCTTACGATATCTATACAATATCAAGCAGACAAGTGATGAGAATTAAGATAAATATCAATTAGGGGATTATCAGTTGATCCAAAACCAAATTCTCTCAAGTTATATCATATGAATTGTATGGGAGACAGTAAGGAGAATTACTTGTGAGGTCTTGGGAGTGAAAGGGTTGATTCAGGCAGAGATACGAGGGGTGGAGGTTCTCTCTTTCTGCTTCCTCACGAAACACATGTCTTTCCTCAGTTGAGCGCACCGCCTCAAGATTCTCGCCCTCACCTCACGCTCCGTTAAAATTGTCAAATAATTCTCCACACAAATTTAAGAGGGCACGTAAACAATTTTTTTGCATGAGAGCAAGCAAAAGACGTAATCCTGTGCTAAGGGGACGCAATATTTCTTACTATTTTGGCATTTTGTTTTTCTTTTCACCTTTCAGACCAAGATCACCCCTCTCTCCTTTTAAACCTCTCTCTCCACGATGCCCTGGAAGACCATTTACACCCGGAGGCCCCGCAGCCCCTGCTGAACCGGGATAACCATCTTTTCCTGGGGGTCCATCTCTGCCAGGGAGCCCCGTTGGACCGTCCATTCCTGACCTTCCGTCACTTCCGTCTCTGCCGGGAACTCCAGGCGCACCCGGAGGCCCACGGGGTGTTGCCCGATTTACGGTCTTCGAGTACTGGTCCTGTAAGTATTGAGCTCTGCAAGAAATGCAATGCAATGCAATGCAATGTGATTTTTGCAGAAGATTTTAAATGCTGAGCCCTCGATAAAAATCATGTGGTTGGTAAGGATTAATAAATGTGGCCAATTACGCAATTTTTAGGTGCAAGAAACATTAGTTGTAGAGATACTGTTTGCAAATGTTAGCAGGCCAGCAATCACAAAGAGCCAGAGTGAAATCAGGTTCATCTAGTTGATTTTATCAATTCAGTTTAAAATGCAAATTGGCCACCGTAAAGAATTTCTAAAGTTGTGGTTACGAGCATTAGCCCTTCGTCAGAGTGAATGAGGTCTTCAACAGAGCTAACGTTCGAGAAGTCAATCTCTAGTCCTGGTAACTTCCACGGTGGCCTATTCAAGTTCTCAACTGAGTTAATACAACAAATTTCCCCCAACCTCCCCTCCCCCCACCGACCGACGTAGCACCACAGTACTTAACCCCCTTTCTTCAATCAGGTTCATATTGGTATTACGTTGTATCCAATAACCTTATAAACTTAACCCCCGACAAATCAAACTGTCAAGGAGAGCAAAGCTCAGTTTGTGATAAAAGGAGTTCGAGTTAACTTAAGATAAATGAATGCAAGCTGGATTTGCAAAGTAGTTCCAGATCACTGATTTCCACTCAGCGCTGTTCAAATGTGCTTCATTATGATATCCACATATGAGGGAGTTCTTATTAACAAGCCCATCGAGAGGCACCTACTCAAAAAAAAACACGTAAGAACCAGTCTCTATTCATCCGGTCTCTATTTAGGTACCAGTCTCTATTTATCCAGTTTCTATTTTGGAACCAGTCTCTATTTATCTATTTATCGCCGGGGACGGGGGTAAAGGATTTTTAAGGACATCACATGGTTTTCAGGGGGAACGGGGGGGGATAAGACGTCAACAATAGAGTGTTAAGGGGGGCTATAGAAAACTGACTTCCAATGTCAATGAGGGGGACTATAAGGAAGAATATAAGAAAGTCCTATGAGGGGGAGATCAGGTACAGTTTATCGTGTCACAATCAAAATTCTTTGACTCCTCCTCTCCCCCGCGAGCGAGAAATAATTACCGGTCCTTATATGCTTGTGTAACAAGATATCCCACGGATGATTAAACAGAAAACGAAAATCATAAAATTTACCTTCCCTCCACGGCAATCATTTGCTGTTGCAATCGCAAAATAGCATTATGCAGGTAACCACCAAAAGCCGTGTTGCCATTCACCTGTCCATTATTTTGATTCTGCCGACGCAATCTCACTTTTTTTCCCTCCGTCACTTGCTCAAAAGTTTTAGCCGCATCTGATCGTGTTTTTGTGGAGGTTTTCTCTTTAGCAGTGAATGTCTTCTTTACCTCTTGCGCTGTTTTATCGCTTGAGTTGTCGAGCACTCCATTTTGCGGACAATTGCACTGTGGCTGATGCGAGGCGAGGAAGAAGACATGGACAAGGCAAAGTAGAGAAATCAAGATGGCTATAATACTGATGCCTGTTGCCAGCGCTGTTCCACCAAACCGCTCTTTAGCGGGCTCGACCATGTTTAGTATTGAAGTGTGATGACCGGTTTTCAAACGAATCGCTTTAACAACAGCTCGCGCGCCCGAAGCACTAATCTGCTACAGAACATTCGTATTAAAAATAAAATCGGGGCAGATATGCCTTGTTATCGTAGAACAAAGCATCTTTCACTTCAACACTTTCTTGAAACCTAATGCTAGGGGTCAAACTACTTATGAATTTCGGCCCTTATCATCGCAGCCGGCTTGACAAAGCTGATCAAGCGGTGACACAGTCACAGCTTTTTTTTTATTTTCCGACTCTCCATTAAATCTGATTTTGTGTATCGTTTCTAGAAAAAATATTTGGCGCAGAGGCCGTGATGTGAAGAAAATAAACAGCAAGTTATTAACATATCTGTCAACACGTACCAATATTTGATAAGCTACCTATCCTCTTTCCATCACGGGAGACTCAGCCCCCGTAAGTTCCGAGCAAATTTACAAGCAAACCTATGGGGAACCGTTTGTGCCAAAATTATCAATCGCTAGTGATAAAACTCAATCGTTAGCTAGCAACAAGTCGTAATTGTAAATCAATTTACTTTCCGTTCTAAAATGGTCAATTGTTAGTGCTGAACCTCAATCCCTTGTGCTGTTGCAGCAAACGCCGTTGTCTGTTGTCACACAAGCAACAAGCAGGCTCCTAAGAGAAGGACAAGGCTGCACACTCCATTTCCGAACGCCCGATCCGAGAGGCGAAAAATTCCACCGGCGGCCCAAGCCGAAACTTCTCTTAGGGGTAGGAAACCTAGAAATGGATAATTCGCTAAAATGGCCTCGTGTCATTATCTATCTATCTATCCTATGCAAACTCTTATATTTTCGCCATGACGCATATTACGCAATGCAAGATGATCATCTCACAGCTGGAGCAGGATTTGCTTCCCTTAATCTGCTAATAAATGAATCTGTTTGAGGATGTTGTGAAATTTTTCCACGCAAAAATTGATTTCCTAGATTTATTATGAATTTAATTGTGTATTAAGTGAGTTGTTATTTCGTTGCCGTTAAGGATAGAGTCAACTTTACAATTAGAGGTAACATGTAATTAGGAGCGGCATAGGGTAATCAAATTGGCTCTGCGAGCAGTGATGTATGAAAATAGGTTTTTGCAGGGCGTTTAAGTGCGTAGAACTTAGCAGCATGATTGTTAAGAAAAGCCATGTTTAATAGGAAATTAGTGCCCACGAATCGTTGTAGAACGTGAGTGAATCTTAAATCCTACACGGAATTATGGATCTGGGTGTGGATTTCCTCAGCTAATAAATGTAACATTTTTGTAACCCTAGGATTAGATTGTAATAGAGTAGATAGATCGCAGAACGGAACGTGTAATAAAGCCTGAATCAAGAGAAAGTATACAATCCAAGATTACTGAACCAGCGTGTGCGGAATTCTGAGCAAAGCAAGTGGGAAATCCTGCGAAAGAGGATGCCATTTCGTTGTCCATCTCAAGGCATATGGACGAAAGTATCACAAAGTACCTTGGATCGCAAATTATTTTTGGGTTTTTTATAAGTTATTTGTGGAGAGAGTGATTTGATCAGAATTTGGAATTTTTTTTCAGATTTACAATAACTTTTAAATAAGCATCTTTCAACAAAAATCAGGAGCCCATCAAGTAAAGTGCTCCTGCAAAAATACAATTCAAAATATGTTTTTGGATTTCAATGTCCTTTATCAGATAGCAAGATAGTAAGCAAGATTTGATTGGTTCATCTTTGCTAAACAAGGGGGAGACTGGTTCCAGGTAGAATCGATAACAAATCGATACTAGCACTAATGATTTATGTTTTGCGGTAGCGATTTGTATTCATCACAAACAATGATTGGTAACACTGGCGATTGATATCGTTACAATTTCTGCCTTTTACAAATAACACAAGCCATAAAGGTTTAACACTATCGATTGACACGAAAACATGTAATTGATATTTAGCGCCATCGATCTGCGTCAAAACACCAGCGATTTATAATTAGCGCTTTTAATTGAAGTCTTACAACGGCGTTTGGTGCAACAACACAAGCGATTGAGGTTCAGCACTAACGATTGACCATTTTAGAACGTAAACTAAATTGATTTACAATTATTATTTGTTGCCAGCACTAACGATTGAGTTTTATCACTAGCGATTGATAGCAATTGGTACAAATGGAACCACATACACAACACCATAGAAAAGTATCGAAAAAGGGTATGCCCGGCCTAAATTCTCCCAGAGTCACCCCCCACCCCCGAACGTCATCAGAGCACAAATGGATATCATCTTGAAACTTTTAATATCAAAAATAGAATGCCTGTACAACTTCCGCTCAGATTATCAATAATATATTTTCAGTCGTAAAATATATTAATAGAAGTAATTCAGCGTCTTCCCTTTAGCTACTTAAACCGCTAACTTTAGGTTACAGAATACCTTTAAATGTTCTGTTACAAAGAGGTCACGTGATTAACAAAAAACACTTTTGACAAGAGAAAACAAAACGTTCCGTTCGTAAGGGAGCCTGTTTTAAGTAGTTGTTACTCCAATGAGAGAGAAATGGAATTAGTTTCCATTTTCCATGTCTACGATTTTTTATGAACTTTTTGCAGTTATGATACAAACGCCAGCGTGAGGTCAAGATTCTTGGCCGAAAAGTCGAAGAATTGAACCGAACTATTGGTTTTGTAGATTCACTTGCTTAGTATAACTTATTTTCAGTACCCTTAGCCTTCCTTTAGCTACCAATCACCCAGGAGTGGAAATTCAAGAAACTGAACAAAGTTATTGCATTTTACAAAGATACTCGCTTATGCTTAATATAATTTAGTTTCTTCTCCTGATTTTTTATTCGCCTCGTCATCGCACGCGGAGAGAACATCTTCCGCTCAACAGTCATGCGGATCCGCTGCCGGAGGTATACCAACATTTTGGCCCCAAACCATGGGTGATGACGTGTTACGCTGGGTTTCCTGTGTTGCTTTTATTGATTCTAAGAGATTGAGGAGAACACTGGGTTAGACTAAATTTTAATTCTCCATTTTTTTTTTTATAGTTCCGCGAAACAAAGTCGAACCATCAAAACATGGCTCTATTCAAATACACGATTAAAAAAAAATCTTCCTTCCGGAAAAGAAAATCCCTGTGATGTGTTTCATTAGTTTCTCTGTCGGGGACTGCGAGCCTAAATCGACCCACTCGCTCCCTCATTCGTGGACATCGCGAAAAACTCGCGCGCAAATTGTTGCGCATACACGTTGCTTGGTTGGCTTGGCGGTATGCTCTCACGGGGAGTACGCGCGGAGAGTACGCGCGGGGAGTACGCGCAGATAAATTTTTGGCGGGTAAGAGTCATTAACTTTCCATTGTAAGTGGCACTAATGCCGACCACCAGTCGAAGTCTACAGTCAAGACAAATAGCTAATAAAATCATTCTGGAGGTCATACCCCAGACTATATGTAGCCATTGTACTCACTTGAAGTCATCAGTTTTTCCAGTTTCTTCCTCCTTTTGGAGCAGACTCTAGCTGTAATCACAACCAGCCAAGCTATTACAGCACCGGCCACGAATCCGAAAGAGAATCCCATGATAACCATTTCCATCGGAGAGAAACGCATTTTTTCTGTCTTGACGAATTGAGATGCTGAGGGACTCGTATGCAGTTTAGTTTTCTCAGTCGTTGCTGTAACAGTTGATGTTGACGTGGTCGTGATTTCTGTTAGAAAACAAAGTACCCGAAACGTTATCTGGAAAATTCGTCACAGAGTGAATTCGCTCTTTTCTATTTCTCCAACGATTGTACGGGATAAACGTAGCACAGAAATTGCGGTTTTCCGAACACTAATCATGTTTTGACGAAAAAGGGAAGATAACTTTCGATCGAGTATCGAGCGTGTTGCGCGCAAAAGACAAAAATCTTGGCCCTGTCATTAGTATTGGAGATAAGCATTAGCCCGGCGAATAAACAAAAACAAAAAACCTCCCAATAATGTTACCTCTAAAGCACAAATTTGTTCAGTGCACACGAGATTTAACGCCAAGTGAGTGAGATTCCGCGACTTGAGAGTATCCCAAAAACCAAATACAGCGAGTAAAAAATACTCCGGCGTCTTTGTTGTGATATTCTGTTCGTGACAGCATAAGAAATGCCCGAAACGAAGGTCAAGATCGCCGACAAAATTCTAACACGGCGCTTTTATCTGGCCAAGTAATTTTATGCGTTGGAACGACGCGAATGAGCTGACGCAATTGTTATATGATACTTATTTGGCCGTGGGCTATAAATCGAGACAATCTCCCTTGGTAAAACAATACTCAAAGGTCAAAGAATGGGTGGACTGCCGTATCAGCAGTCTTATGATGTTTCGAAAGTGCACGCTAGGCAAAACTAGCGGTAAATTTCCCCTTAGCGTTCACAATTATCCTTCCAGAGTCTCGCTCCTACTCCTATGAAAGGAATTCAAAATAATTCGTTGCGATTCAGTTTAAAGGCTTCTTTAAAAGATGAATATCTTACATCTGCCGAAACAAGGAGCATTTGACAAAACCATTGCATAAAGACTTAAGACTTACGAAAGAATGGGACCCCACCACACTACTAAAACGACACACTTTTGCGCGTCGGAAGCCGCATGAAAAATCCGAGTTTTTCTCATTTTTTATTTTGCAGTTTCGTTGATAGAACCGCATCATTACAACCAAATTTTCTTGGCTAGACATTGCAGGTTTATCGTTAAAGGGGACAAGTTTATAATACGTTGAAATGTGCTGACTTGCAGGAATCGAAGGGAGATTTTACGTGAAATTTTTAGGTATATAAAAAATTGACAGAAACTGACGCGAAAACGGAAAAGCCTTCAAGTAATCAAATGAAACTTACTTTTACAACAGGTATCACAGTTCTCGTAGTGAGGTTGCTCAATACAAACGCTGCAGTTGAAATAGTCGAATACGCTGCTTTCATAGAACTTCCCATCCTTGCATGGCAGTGGCTGCTGACTGCTTTGATCAACTAATGACAAGAGAAGAACAGCTCCGAAGATCAAAATCATGATTTAGCTACAATATCAATATTTCAATTAGAAGTGCAAGCAGCGCTGTCAGGGAACAATTCAGTGCAACTGGGGAAAAACAGTTTTCAACGGTTTTTATACGATGTTGTACT